CCAACACAAAACAGCCAGCCCCCCATCCATCAATCAAGCACCTCTCATTGTGCAGCTAGACCATGTTCGCGGCATCCTCGCCAAAGAAGAGGCCGGGCACCTCCCGCGGCACCTCGTCTGTGCCGCTGCCGGTTTCCTCCCGCACTCTCTCTCTCGCCGCCCTGCTGGCCCTCCCTCTGTCTCTGTCTCTGTCTCTTTTGCTGTCTCTGTCAGGGGGGTCCTCCTGCTTGGACTTCCGCCGGCCCCTCGCACCCCTGCCCCACGGCTGCATACCGCCCCACATCTGCTGATACCTGCCAATGAGCAGTGAGACAGACAGATGTGTGTGTGTGTGTCTTCTGTGTTGGATGTCTGTAGGAAAGTACCATACATACCAGGCATTTTGCACGTTTGGTGGCGGGTATGGGGGGCTGGGCGCGTGAGTGGGGTGGAGCGGGTGGTACATTGGTGGGTGGGACTGGTGGTGCATCCCCCCCGCTGTGTGCCTCTGCCACGGGTGGGTCAGGCCAAAGGGCGACTGCTGGTGCTGAGGGTGCTGATGGACATGATGCGGTGCAAAGTCGTGACCTGCAGAACACACACGCGCGCCAATGTCGTTGTGACACTGTCAATTGTGCTTATCTTGGATGGTGGGGCATACCAGCGTACGTCACAGGTGCCTGGGGCATCATGGCGGCCGCAGCAGTATGGTGGTGCATCATCATCATTTGTGCCGGCGGCAAAGGCACGCCCCCGTGCATAGGCGACGGCTGCATGTCGGGTGCTCCCTCACTCTGCCGCGGCGTGGATGGCGCCGACTCGGCTGAGAGCGGGGGATGGGGCAGCGCTGCCGCACTGCAACACACATACACGACAGACAGACAGACAGAGAGAGACATGCATAGAGAGTGCATGTGGTGAGGATGTTGTCCGTGTGTGGGTGTGCACCTACCCGCCCCTGGCCGTTCCGCCCATCATTGCCGCAGTCATGGGGTCCGGCCCACCAGGACCGCCTGGGACGCCGTCATAGGGGCTCTCGTCTGCATTGCATGTGCACACAAGGGGAGGTGTGTTGTGTTGTGTGTGTGCGGGTGCAGTCACTTGGCGGAAACAGGATTGGCTGAGGTGGGAGGGCGTAGCGGACGTTGAGGCGATCCATCTCCCGCAGTATCTCCCTGCATCCGTTCATGTCATGACACGCCCATTCACCCACCCGTCGTGAAGGTATGTATCATACCAGAAGAGGTCGTTTCGCGAGGCGTAGATGTACTTGAATTCGGCCCAGCCCATCTTGTGTGTGGGCCAGATGCCGAACTGGATGTGGGCGTGCGGCTGCACCTGGTAGATCGAAAACATCGGGTTCGGCTCCCACTCGGTCGGGTGCTGCAGGCAAAACATCTGAATCGACTTTTTCAGCTCCTGTGCAGCACACATATAGAGAGACAGACAGACAGATGCAGAGAGCGCGGTGCTGGGATGAATGGATGGATGGATGGATGGCGATTGAGTTGCTGCCGTGCTGACCGCGAATTTGTCTCGTGGCGTGGATGCGCCGATGAGGAAGCACAGCTCGAAGCACGCCTTTGGCGATCGGCTGAGGTTGATGATCTCCGCCAGCGCCAACACAGAGTTGGGGAACAGACACTGACCCACACAGACAGACAGACAGACAGACACACACACCGACAGGAGGTGAGACTGTGGGGGGTTGAGTGGTTGAGTGGTTGTGTGGGTGGTGTCCACTCACTCACTCACCGCTTTGTTGTGCCAAGTGACGAACTGGGTGCAGGTGATGTTGACCTTCTTGACTTGCATGGGGGTGCCTGAACGGTTCAGGCGTGAGTGAACGAGTGTTTACATCATGTCGGTGGTGGGCGTGGCGTGTTTGTTGTGCCGACCGTTGTTGACGACGACCCAGTCCTCTAGGTCATATGGCTGGTACCAGAATATGAAGACCAGCGAGTCGAAGAAGTTGCGAATCATGTTGCCCAATCTGCGCGGATGCGGACGCATAGAGACATACACACACGGCCAGACCATGCCAGGCCACATCAGCCAGAATGAAATGTGTGCATTCATTGCGACTTACGCAAACGCCAGTCCCGCCGTGATGGTGAGTGTGCCCAATAGAACACTGAGAGAGAGAGAGAGAGACAGAAAGCCATAGCACGCACACAAAAAGACACGCACCACCCACCCTCCCACCCTTCCACTGACTGACTGACACACCTGAACACGTCCACGCCGATCATTGCGAGGGCGATGAAAAAGGCTATCAGCCACATGGCGCCGCTCACCGTGTTCTTCAACACGTCCTGCATCAGCCAGCCAGCCAGCCATTCATTCATGTGTGTGTGGTTATCGACACATGTGCGCAGCAGGCAGGCAAGCAGGCAGACCGACTCACCGTAACAGAGTCGTCGACTTGCAGTGAGGCGAGGAGCTTCTGCCTGTCCGTGAAGGTGTCCACCACCGCGGCCACAAACTTGCGGCGAGACACGATGCCCTCACCTGGGTGAAGCAATCACAGCACATCTCGTCAATCTGTCTCTCTGTCTTTCAGTGTGTGTGTGTGGACGGGGGCACCATAATACCATCTGAGTCAAGTGTCCTCAGCAGGCTGTCTGCGTGCTCTGTCGTCAGAAACAGCTCCAGCAACGCCTTGCCAAACGTCAAACGAGTCGTCTGACCAAAGAAACACACAGACAGACAGACATGGACATCAACGCGAGTGTCGTGGATTGGATGGATGCATGTGTGTGTTTGCATTGCAGGGCATGTGTATCTATATGTGTGCCGACCGGTGCAGCAGCGACGACTGTGGCGCCGCCGTCCTCCCCCTGTGCCCCTTGCTGTGCCGCCTCGTCCGCCTTTCCCGCCGCCTCGGTCTTCTTGGTCGAGGCGCGGCGGGGCCCCGACTTGTCGCCGCCCACTGGATGATGCTTGGGCGACCGGTTCGCTGCAGAGGTCCTCTCCGTGTCCTTGGTCCCAGCTGCAATGGATCATGCAAATTGCATCTTGCCTGCATCTTTCTGCCCGTCTGCCTGCCCGCCCTTGACAAACCTCTTCTTATCTTGGGCTGTGCACTTTCGGGCAGCGGCGCCACCAGCGGCAGAGCCAAGGCGGGAGCGAATGAGGGCGAGCACCCTGGCCGGTCCGTGTCGCCGTCCGTGTCGCCACCGCCACCCTTATCCGACACCGTGGCTGCACCCGCAGCAGACAATGAGACAGACCCATGCACACATCCAAAGAACCTGCTCCATGTATTCGCGTCTTCTCCGTACGCATTCTCTCCGGCCCCTCGTTTGGTGGAGGTTGTGGCGGGGTCTGCTGCTGTGGTGGCTGTGGTGTCGCCTGGGGGGTCGGCTGTCCCTGGCCCCCCTGTGCTGGGGGGACGATCTGTGCCTCTGGCGGGATGAACGCCGCCTGCCACTGCAGCAGCTGCGTGAACACCTGCGACGCCACGCACTGGGCCTCTCGGCGGGTGAGGATCTCCACGCGGCGACCTGTGTGTGCGAAGAGACGGAGTGATGGGCAAAGAGACATGCATGTTTCACTGGGTGGGTAAGCGCCTTGCCTTCGTTCCAGACGCGCAGTGGGTGTGTGGCAATGTAGTGTCGGTATCGCCAGCTCTCCCATGCGCTCGGCTGCCGGCCCTGGTCGACGTTCGCCAACAGCCCCCCCGTGAAGGTGCTGACTGAGGGCGTCACTCTCCTCCTCTTCCTCTCCAGCTCAGCCGGCACCTGCAGTGTGCGCACAAAGACAGACACCGGTGCCGGACATCCAGTACACACACATGGCCTGCCTGCCTGTTTGCCTGCCTGTCTGTGCATGGGGCTGTCGTCGTATTCGATGACGTTGACGGCGCCGAAACCCACAGCAGGAGGAGCAGCCACCGGCGCAGCCACGCCATCCAGACCCCAACCACCCTCGTAAATGGGCGCTGATTGACACATACACATAGATATTCTGCAGCTCCTTTCCCTTCCGCCATTTCTCATCCCGCTCAGCTCACCTGCTTTCTGGTCTGGTGGGGGTGGCGGGAAGTGCATCGATCGCGATCTATCTGCCTTGGTCTTGGTGCGTCGAGAGCCGCCCTGGTCAGCCACCGTCGACGCCATCGTCCCCGCGCGGCCCACCACGGCAATACCCCCACCTGCATGCATGTGTGTACGCGAAAATTCGTATTTCGTAGACAACCAACCCCCCCACACACAGACAGAGACACCACGTATGCAAAGAGACATGGCAAGACTACCGATGGCAGAGGGCTCGCGTGGGCGTCGCGAGCGACGCGAAAGTGCGGATGTCCTGCAAGCGCACAGTCAGGTCAAATCCCCCCGTCACAACGTGTCCGAGTCCTTTGAACACCCACTCGGACCTCCTATGTTCCCGCTCCTCGGCGGCGGCCTCCTTGACCGGGGGGGCACCTTCTTTGACTCCTCCCTCCTTCGGAGTGCCATCGGCCTCTTTGGTGACCGGCAGCCCGCTGCTTCTTAGGGAGGGCATGAACCGCGACGCCAGACGGTGAAAGACCGATACTCCCCGGTGGAATGACGTGTCCTCCTGGCCATCCCATCCAACGAACACAATCACGCAGACGCACATGGAGCTATTGTGGATGGTCAGTCAGGTGGCTCACGTGGTCTAATGCGCCCTCTTCGAGAGCGCTGTAGGCGACGAGAGTGGGCGTGTCGACGTTGGGCACCTGTGTGGCAGTCCACCAAGCATTGCATGCAGACACGTGAGAGCTGCCACTCTGCTCTCTTCGAGCCCACCCTGCCCCCAAGCCCGCCTAGCCCTCCTGCCTGCAGAGAGATTGCTGGCGGCGGCTGTGCCGAGAACGAGGGCGATGCCGTTCGCTGGATCTCGCCCTGCTCCCCTGATGGCATGTGCACGTCCGACTGCTGCTGCCCTGCACACACACAGACAGACACACGGGGGTGTATGGGTGTGTTGTGTTGTTTAGGGTGGTGTTGATGGCAGGGACTGACCAGCGGTCCAAAGGGCGGCGAATGCCTCTGGCGCGAGAGTGCCGACACACTCTTCTGGTGGGCGTGACTCCAGGCTGTCGCCGCGGGTGCGGTCCGCTTGGTGGGACTGTTTTGTGGGGGTCACAAATAAAGCACGCCTTTCTGCGCATGGTCAATGATCCCTCGCCCCCCTCCACGGTCGAGCGCACCTGTGTGTCTCGTATGTCTTCCGCGTGGCCCTCCTCCATCGACGCGGCAGCCAAATCAAGCGTCTGGCTAAACCTGCCCACCACAACACAACACAACACAACACAATCACACGTATGCGTGCGTCCACCGATGTGTCTGCGCTCGCATCACGTACGCACCCGAACCCCGTGTGATTGTCAACCAGGTCCCTCTCCCTCGACCGCTGGCTGCTGGGCGTCAGGTTGGGCTCCGTCGCCACACGCGGCGGGTGGATGTGGATGCTCACTGCGCCTGGAGAGGGGGACGGGGACTGGCTGTGCGTGTGGGTGGCCGTCCCCGTGGCTACGGAGGTGGCCGGCTGTGCAGTGGTGTGTGTGTGGGTGCTGCCGGAGACCACCTCGCCCCCACTGCTGTTTGTGCCGTTGTTGGTGGCTCTCTCCCTCTCCCTTTCTCCCGTGACGGTCCCCTTGCTGTCCTGTGTTAGCACGGTGTCCTGCGCCTGGAGAATGATGTCTGCACACCGCACATACACGGCCGCAGAATGACTTGGAGAAGACAGCTGTCTGTCTGTTCGTGTGTGTGTACCGGTTGGGAAGCGGACAACGCTTAGTACTTTGGTCGGCCGGTCCGGGCCGCCGTCCTGCCGCAGAATGGGGGACGGGGGCGCCGCCACCCCGCCGCCACCCGGTGTGGCGGTGGTGGGCTGCGGCGACTTGGTTCCCCCTGCTCTGGTGGTCTTGTTGGTTGTCCTCGTCTGCCCCCTGGCCGTCCTGGCGAAGGGGTTCTTCTTGGTGGCGGCCGCCACGCTCGCACGCTTGGTCGTCCCTGCACACATAACGGAGCATGAAGGTATGTGTGTATGGCACTCACTGGGCTGGCGCATGGACATGCTCACTTGGTGGTTTGGGCGGGTGCGGCTGCTGCTTGGCTTTGGGCGAGAAAATCGACGCAACCGTCCCACCCATCCCTGGCAGACCTGCAGACACACAACAGCACCACAACACACCACAAGACACACGCGGCGTATTTGTTGATAGGCGGCGTATTTATTGATAGGGGGGCGTGTGTGTCCGTGTCCGTGTCCGTGTGTCCTCACGCACCCATTCGGTGCGAGCGAAGAAATCTGAAGGGAGGGCAGTTGAGGCGGCCGATCGCCTTCAGACGCCATACTATCGTTTGCAGCTGCACATACATACCGAGACACATTCACACCCACCCACACATACACACACACACACACACACAGGCAGACACAGACCAGAGGGCATTCATTTGGTCGCCAACACCACGCCCTCCCCTGTCTCCCCTCTCTCCGTGTCTGTCGTGTGTATGGCTGTCTGTGTGTTCGTTCGGACGCACCTGTGCGTTTCTCTGCTTGGACCTCGCGACAGAGATGTAAGTCCGCAGAAGCTGCCTCAGGAGCTCCTCGCCGCCAATAAAGATGCCCACCTCCAGGGCGAGGCGGACGTACTTGCGGACCTCGCCCGTCGTCTTGGAGTATCGGTGCTCTGCAAGAAAATCAGACGGGTGAAGTGATCGGGTCGGTGCTGTTGCCTTTGAATGAACGATCTGTGTGCGTGAGTGGAGTGCGTTGTGTGTTCATTCATTCACTGCCATGCCTTTGGGGAACATGACTTCGATGAAGAGGAAGTAGGAGACGAGCATCCAGGAGAGTGATTCCCTCTTGATGTTGTGCAGGACCATCCCTGGTTGATGCATTTGACACAAACACACAAACACACTGATTTTCTGGCCTTCTCTCTCTCTCTCTCTCTGTGTGTGTGTGTATCTGTGACTTACCGATGGGGAGCTCTGATTGTTGGTCGACCAGGTTGACAAGGATCTCCAGGAAGCCGTACACCAGCCGAATGGCCACACGCACCTACACAGGCACACATTCACATACACACCACACACATATGGACACTGCGGCATACACACACACAACACGTGGGTGTCTGTGCAATCATTCATCAGGGACCAAGATCACGGCAGCCCCGAAGGTACCCCACTTCCACAGTTCGTTCAGCCTGACAGAAGACACACACAGAGAGAGACAAACACAACACCTGAGTGCGTCTGTGTCTGTGTGCGTCTCGTCTGTGTCTGTATACCTCAGTCCGAGCTGCTCTTCGTCTCCGCTTTCCCCTGGCCATCGATACCAGGCGTACAGACCCACACACCCACACGCCAGCAGCAGGAACAGGTGACCTGTTCTCACACAGAGAGACACATTCACGACAAATAGAGAGGACTTTTCTTTCTCTTTCTCTCTCTCTCTCTCTCTCTGTGTGTGTGTGTGTGTGTGTCTGTGGGGGAGTGCCGACCGACCCATGAGTGACCACTTTGAGTCGATTACGATAAGCGACCTCAACCTGCGTCCATCCATCCATCCATCATGCACATGACGGCACAAGTGTGTGCATCACTCTCCCTCCCTCTGTATGTGTGTGTACCATCTCCAGTATCCCCGCAGTCTGCTCTCCCGCTGCTCCTCCACGTCCTCCTGGACCGCCTCGGACATCTCATCGTCGTCACCTGTGTGTGTCAGGCAATCAACGGCACATACCATACCAAACCACACACACATGAGGGCAGAGAGAGACACAGTATGGTGGGTGAGAGTGAGTCTTTACCCTCTTCGCTGGCGTCATATCCCACGTCGCTCGCCACGCCAGCACTGCCCTTGCTCACGTCAGTCTTGGCGTCGCCTGCACACACACACACACACACACACTTTTGGTGCAAGGCGAACTCACACGTATCTGCAGACGCATGTTTACACATACCAGGTTTGAGGAGTTGCCATGCTCGCCTCTCCTGCTGCAGCTGCAGGGTCCGCTCCCATAAGCTGTAAGGGTCAGCCTGCAGGGAGACACGGCAAGTCGACACAAGGAAGTATCCACACACGCACAGAGAGAGAGATGGAGATAGAGACAGCGATGCTGACCACGGTGATGGCCGTCTCGGCGTAGGACGAGCCGGCCTGCGATGTGTCCTCAAGACTGCATCCAAGAACGACAAGACACCCTCTCCTCTCCTGTCTGTCTGTCCTTGTCTGTCTGTTTGTCTGTCTGTCTGTCCTTGTCTGTCTGCCTGTCTGTCCGTGTGTCTGTGGATGAGTGAGTCCTTACGTCCTGCCGGGTGCGCTCGAGGTGTCTTCGGGGTGTCCTCCTTTGTCTCTGCCCCGCTGCTCCCTCTCTCGCCTCATAAAGTCACCCAAATCCATCATCTTGGTGGCCTTCTCGCCCTTCTCCGGCGCCTGCATACGACGAATGGATGGATGGATGCGCTGTGTGTGTGTGTGTGTTTGGTAGGTTGCTCACAGGGAAGGTGGGTAGCCTGACTGGCTCTTTGCTGTCCTTGGCAGCCTGTGTGATGGCCCGCAGAGGCAACGGCGGCACTGCGAAGGAATGAAGCCAAGCCACATAGAAAGTCATAGACACACAAACACCACACAAAGTGCTCATCCGTGTGTCCATGTATCGACAACATACATACCCCGTGTCATGTGAGCTCTGCCAGGCGACCTCACGTCAGGCTCCGCAGCAATGTTCCCCTCATCCCCCTCCCTGCACACAACAAACAAGGCAAACGGACACGGCACGGGTGTCTGTGTGGTGTGAGTGGGGCTCTCTCTCCTGGCTGACGTACTTCGGAAAGGGCTGTTCGGGCATCTTGGTGTGTGCTGCAGAGAGGTCCTGCTGCACAGAGGAGGCCAGCCAGGCCTTCTTGGTCCGGTGGCCGTCTTCGCTCTGATCAAACGACATTGTCCGCCCGCCGATGTGACCCTCAGTGCTCATCTGGACACACACGCAGGCGCAACACACACACACAGACACACAGGGACAGTCTCTGCTCTTCCCTCCTGTTTGTGTGCCCTTGTCGCCGCCTACTTCTTCGTCCAGCAAAGGTCTGTCTTCCATGTGGGCCCCATTAGCCAGCGAAAGGCGACTCGGTTGGACGAATTCTCGCCTCTGGCCGTCCTGTGGACATTTGGAGACGCCTTCCTTTGGAGCTAGGTTGAGGAACGGCCGTATCTTTCATCCTGCAGGAAGAATCTGCGAGCTAAACTTGGGGTCAGTTTGGGGCCCGAGACGGGAGAGAGGGGAGACGGCGACGCGAGCGCAAAGAGGCATATTCATCATCAAAAACGACTCATAAACGCCGCACGCACTCACGCAGCTCCACACCAATTGTCAACCAGAGATCTCTGCCACCACGGCCACTCCATACGGACGTACACATGAGGCCACTTCCTGCAGTCAGTCAGTCTCTCTCGCCTTCCTTCCTTCACAATGGGCTTGGCCTGCTTCACCAATTGCAATACAACCAACAGTCTCTCCTTTCTCTCTCACTTCATGGGCTGCAGGTGGCAGCCTAGCAGCCCCCTCCCCGACCAGGTCTGCGGCCGCAGCGACAAGGCCATCTCACGGGCCTCACGACGCACCACCACTGCAGTCATGTGCACCACACGACACACACACGCGCCGTGCGGAGGGGGATACAGTGAGCAAGCCCCTGGATGGTGTGTGCGTGTGTGGGTGCGGACCGTTGACGTTTCTGCCGACGTTCTCCTGCACCACTCGCGCAATGCTCCTGAGGGAGGGAGGGATGAGCGCAGGGGTCACAGCAGCAAACAAGGTGGATGGAGAGATAGATAGCCAGCCAGCCAAGTGACTGACTGACTGACTGACTTGAATCCGTCAGGCGTCGAGGCGTCCACATCCCCAAAGGCCACGATGCGGTCATCTGCATGACATGACGCGATGACGGAACGAACAGCAATGCGTTCATTGCATGTCTGTCTAGTTAGCTACACGTAACTTACTGATCTGCAGTCCAGCAGCCTCGGACGGTGACCCGGCGGACACCTCATCTGTCAGTCAGGTAAATCAGGACACACACCACACCCGATTGCATGGCATCCATACGACTGACTCGCTACTTGCGCATGGCTGGTCTGCCTGAGTGTGTGTGTGTGTCGATGAGAGAGAGAATACCGACCGACAACAGCGAAGGCGGGCCGGTGCCCCACACCATTGGCGCGACTGCTCGGACCCGACGAAGAAGATGACGACCCAGGGCCTGACACACACACATCCACCGCCATACATTTCCTTGGAGCCGCGAACGGCAGTCCTCCCTCTCAAAACCTCTCTCTTATCCTTCCTCCGTCGCTCACCCACCTCTGGGCACGCGCACAGCCCCCTGTGCGTGCAGGTCGTGCAGCCCCGCCTCAATCTTCTTCATCAACTCCGCATGGTCCGTCTGCAAACCTGACGCCACGCCAGCCACACCCAACACACTGGCTGGCTGCCGTCCTCCCGCCTCCTTAGATGGATGTCATGAGCCGGTGTGGTGTCTGCTCTGTCTGCTTACAGGCGAGTTTGTGCCGCGCCTGCCGGATGGGCACGATGTCGAGATCTGCACGCGGGAAGCCCTCAGCATCCTGCACACCTCGCAACAAACACAAAACGGAACGTGAGTTGGCTGCTTCCGTGCTCCTCTTTGTTGACATATGACTGAGTGACTCACCAGCAGGTTGCCTCTGACTCCGGGCATGCCCGGAGCCGTCAGGTACGCCGTCAGCGCCTCCATCTCGGACTCCATCGCATCACGGTCCTTTATCAGCTGCTGCAGACCCTCGGGGACCATCATCTTGGCGTGAGGACGAGCGGTGAGAATGAGGACTCTTCAAGTGTAGGGTTTGGGTTTCAGGGTAAGACGAAGAGATCTGCGGGTAAGGATGGCGTCCGAGGGTGTGAGTGCGCCATCTGAGAAGGAGCTACAGGAGATCGTCAAACTCTATAAGAAAACTGAAGAAGGTGCTCACTCGGTTCTCTTGCACCGAGATGGAGGAATGCTGCTGCTGTGTGTGTCACGTGTGAGTGTGCGCAGCGCTTCGCGAGGCTTTGATGAATCGCGAGAAGCTCATCCAGCAGCAGAGCGAAAACAAGATGGTCAAAGAGGTAATGCGTAATCTGATGCATGGGATGGACAGCTGACTGACCAACGCACACACTGATGCGAATGCCATTCATCAATCCGCTCATTCATCCGGTCGTTCCTCGTGTGTGCGTGTGTGTGTGTGTGTGTGTGTGTGTGTGCAGGAGTTTGGGTGTCTTGAGAGCGACGCAGAGGTGTACAAGTTGGTGGGGCCGCTGCTGGTCAAGCAGCCCATCGACGAAGCCAAGACGCAAGTCGACAAGAGGCTCGACTACATCGACAAGGAAATGTGCGTGCCCTACGTGCGTGCGGTGTGCACACCACACGAGAGAGAACCAACACCAGCACACAAACGCACACACCCGCACCGTGCCGTGCCGTGCCCTGCCCTGCCACACATGCGTGGCGCTGCATATCGCCTGGCCTGGCCTGTACATCCATCTGTCCATCTTTGTCTGTGTGTGGCTGCTATGCTGCTTGTCGGCCGCTGTCTGTCTGTCTGTCTGTCTGTCTGCCTGCAGTGAGCGTGCCGGGTCGATTGTGGAGGGCCTCCAGACCACACTCAAGGAGTGCGAGCAAAAGGTGCGCGCGCCACTCCTGCTTGTGCCTTTGCGTCCACTCCAGCACACACATACTCAGAAGTGCATAGAAGCATCCATCCACGCCTCCGACCACCTGTCTGTGTGTGTGTGTCCGTGTCAGGTGGCTGCCTTTGAGAGCGCCAAGCAACAGGCAGCCCAGCCGCAGGCCAACACGCAGACGGCTGCCACATGAAGGAAGCAACGCAACGAAGGACAGACGGCAGACAGGCTCACACACGAGCACGAGTACGCTGCTGTCCGGTGCGGTGCGGTGCCGTGCGGTGCGATGATTGTACATATATATGTAATACATATCGACGGTTTGACGGGGGAAGACGGCCATTCTACTGGACCGACCCGTCTGGTGCAGACACAGTGTGTGTGGTGTCACATTGACCATTGACCATTGAATGGGGGTTTGTTGTAATTTTGGCAGGGCGGTAATCCGTTTCGCGCTCCGCTCTGACTCCTCCCTAACTCGGGGGAGGAAGAGTTGTTTACTGCAGAGTAAACGCGGCGCTGGGAGTCGAATAAAAAGAGAAGGACCGTGCCAAGGGCCATCCGACACGCCGCGTGCGCTCCCCGAGACACTTTCCGAGGATCGCCCGTTGCCGCACACTCCGACACCCATCAGGTCGCCCAGGCCGTGAGGAACCTCGCCCACACCGTTCGTTGAGTAGCCAAGGCTCCTCCCGCCCCGCACAGGCCGGCAGAGCAGCTCCCTGTGTCGGGCAATGGAGGACCAGCCGTCGGAGTCTCGTATGTGTGAGGTGTTCTATGTGGGTTTGCATGCCAGTGGAGGTCAGGAGGGAGGGCTGCTGGGCGGCGAGGGGGGAGAGGGCGAGAGGCGCGACGCGGTGGGTGTGACCGAGGGCGGCCAGGTGGTCTTCCAGGTGGTCAGGGGCGGAGTCACCGAGAACCTCATACAGAAACTCGCCAACGGTGAGAGCATGAGAGGAGCTGGCCGGTGAGCCAGCTCGTGTGTATGTTGTGTTGTCTGGTCGATGTATGGTGTGGTTTCTGTCTGCAGATGTGGAGTCGCTGATCCAGGCGGTGCCCTCTCCGCTGTCGCCCCTCTCCCTCGGCTTTACCTTCACCCAGTTCCCTCCCGCGTGTGAGGAATCCCCCCTCATGAGGGCCGCTGTGGGTGTGGGCGTTGGCGGGGCTGTGGGCGGGGCAGGTACGTCAGTCACACAGACACGCAGCGGGGCAGGGTAGACAGACCATCACACCCAAGTGTGTGTGACGTGTGTCGTATGTCGTGTGTCGTGGGTGGGTGCAGAGTCGGCGCCTCACGTCCGGGCGTTTGTGGAGGCGTGCCAGCCGTTGGTGGAGCAGCTCAAGAACACGTTCGTCATGGCGCTGCAGCGGATGACAGTCCCGCAGACACAGCAACTGGTGGGTGGGAGAGGGAGAGGGAGGGGGAGGGGGAGGGAGGATGGATGGATGGATGGTTGGATCTGGTGTGTGTGTGTGTGCGTTGGTCTGGTGTTAATTGTGTCACAGGAGTCTGGTGTGGTGGACGTGGAGAGCAAGAAGATGCCCCTCGCTGCCATGAGGACACTCCCTATCGCTAACCAGGTCGACAACGGCCCACACGACACACACAGCCACACAGACGTGGCCACGCTCTCTCTCTCTCTCTCTCTCATCTCTCTCTCTCTATGATGCGTGTGACAACAAACAGGTGGCGATGAGTGAGAATGCCACAGCTCACGCCATCCACAACTCGTCACTTTCGTTTCCGTACGCACAGCTGTGTGCACACATGACTGATGTGTACTCGACGAGAAGCCGAGAAGCCTACCCGCTGTGGCGTGTGTGTTGTGTTGTGCTGTATCCGTGGCTGGCAGGTACTCGTGGGGCTCGCTGTGGCCGTCGTGCTGCCTGCACGTATCGCTAGAGGGGTGGATGGGCGGCGAGGGCGAGATGGACGGCACCTACAGAGTGATCGTACCCGTCGGTGGAAGTGGTACATTGCACTGCACCGCCACACACACACACACACGTACACGCCTCACCTGGATGTGCTGTGCTGTCCGGTGGCACGACGCAGGTGTGTTTACGGTTCCCCATTTCCGTCTGCTCGAGACCGACAGTGTGGTCAAGGTCGCCATCAACAGCGGGGACGTCCTACTCGTCAAGAACAGTCAGTCAGCACACACGCACACGCACACACGCACTCATCAACTCACACAGATACTCTGGGTGGATGGCATGGCGCTGTGTGTGTGTGGCTGTGTGTGTTGAGTGCAGGTCTGCCTGACTTGAGCAGCGTCGCCTGCGGGCTGTCGGGGTGTCACCACGCCATGGTCTGGAGCTGCCCCAAGCCCACCAACCAGACGCACAACATGCAGGAAATGGGTGCGCAACCCCCCTCCTTCC